TATAATTGATATGGTCAAGGCCGTCTAAACTTTTCAGTATTTTTCCGCACAGTTCATTCAGGCTAATATTCTGTAGAGTCCAAAGATCGCTTGTTCGTCTATCACCTATATCATCTTTGTCCCTTCTGTTCTTCAATTTTCTATCATCACCATCATCATCTTTGTCGTTATTTTTTTCAGTTTCATCATCGTCATCATCATCGTCATCATCATCGTCATCACCATTTTCACTTTTATCTTCATCATCATCATCACCGTCGTCATCATCATCACTTTTATCTTCATCATCGTCATCATCTACCTCGATGACTACATAATTTTCTTTCTTCTGTGGAGCTGTATTGATTTTTTTATCATTGTTATCATTGTCATTCTTAACCGTCCTACCGTTGTCGTCATCATTATCACCACCATCATTATCAATATCATTATCAGTATCGGCATCTGTATCAGTACTTTTTGTACTATCATCATCATCACCATCATCATCATCTTCATCATCATCAGCAGCCATTTTGTTATTAGCACTACCATTTCGTGTAACTTTGTTCAGTTTAGCAATATCATCGCCGGTTTCAACCTCATCATTACTATCATCGTCACCATCATTATCATCATCATCTTCATCGTCGTCACCCCCATCATCATTATCATTATCATCGTTGACATCATCATTATCATCATTGACAACATCATCGTCGTCGTCGTCATCATCGCTAGTAAGAACAACAACATCATTTCTATCTAGTGTTGTCTGCGGGGGTTTGCTGTCGCAATCGTCGTCGAAGTTGGTTTCCATGTAGATGGAATTCACTGAAGACCTCGTGCTGTTGACGCTGTCGAAGCTAGCGTTCACGCGTTTCATGCTTCGCTTCTTAATGGCGTTTAATGTCGTTGTTGAGGTTGTTGTTGTGCTGTTGTCGGTAGTGGCGTTGTTGTTGATTGAGTCAATTTTGTTGTTTTTGATGTTGTGGTTGATGTTGTTGTTGCTGATGACGATGCTGCTGCTGTTGATGCTATTGATGTAATCACTGTCACTATCTGTCTGATCTCTTGAAATGACTGCGAAGGAACTATTTTTATTTTCGCTTTGGGAACTCTTCCCATTGGACCATCTGTTCTTTCTCGCAACCCGCCTTCTGATTGGCTCGTTCATGTCCTCATCACCGCCGTCACTCTTAATAATAATAATATTATTATTGTTATTATTATTTTTATTATTATTACTGTTGTTGTTGTTGTTGTTAGTTGCTGTAAATTTTTTGAAATAATTAGGAGCGGTAGGA